AGGTGAACACAAGACAACATTAGCACGACCAGTAATCCTACAAGCTGTCATCACTACCCTCCTGACTGTTCTCCTCACTGTCTTCCTCTCTGTCAGACATGGTAGCTGATGATGTAGGCCTACTACTTTCTCTCTGGTTGAGTCTGCAATTAGCAAATTGGGTCGAAAGTCTCTGTTGTCATCTTAGAAAAGTGGATGTAATCAAATACGTATGTGAACATAACCAATAACCTACCATAGCCAATAACAAATTAATGTAACTTATTTTATTTATGTTGTTCATTCATATCTTATTTTACCTTAACATTTATGCATTTTTTTTAATCTCTCCAGTTTTAAAGGATATTTGTGGTTGCTGTCCTATAGTATACATTGGAATGATTTCAAACCTGTTTATCCCAATATTTATAAAGGAGTGCCTTGGAAATATGTGTTTACATAAATTGTGACCAAACCGTTTTAACTTAGACTAAAGTGAACTATCTAAACACTCAGAGTCCTTTACCTCACTGAGCTGTAGTTATCAGCCTCTCAGTCTGACTGGAGAGGACTCTCCCTCCACATTATTGTAGAAACATCTTCTTCTTCCGTTAGAGCAGCTAGCACCAGATTCTAATAACAACAGCGCCGGTACCGGTGCACCCTCCCTCTCTCCCTTGCTCACTCGCATTGTGGCTGTGAGCTGCGGGCGCCAGATAAGCCAACATCCCCCATTTTCATCACTTACAGCGTCCATCGTACAGGGCAAATGAAACGTGTAACCGGGGTGAAAAGGGTGTTACATTTACTTAATTATAAATATTGTTACATCAAGGCCGAAAATTAGGATGAGCATCAATGGTCAAAAATGTTTTTTTCCCTCCCAGAACTGCCAGCGCAGCGCCTCCCCAGATCTGGCGCCCTAGGCGAACATCTATTACGCCAGTGCTATGGGCCGGCCCCCCTGAGTTCATATCATAGGTTCATATGCAAATATATTTCTCTCTCTCTTCTCTCTTCTCTCTCCTCTCTTCTCTCTTCTCTCTTTTCTCTTTTCTCTTCTCCCTTCTCTCTCTCTTCTCTCTCTCTCTCTTTCAATGTTGGTACGCAAATGCGCCTTTTTTCAAATGACACGGTGCTCTTTTTTTGGCGGAGGTGCGCATGCGCACCTGCGCACCAGTTATGTGCAGCCCTGCCTATAAACCAATTTCCCAGCGGACAAATAGCCTTATGACATTTCACTCTTGTTTTCACTGGAATGTAAAAATCCGCATTCAATTCTTGGACAAATGACTCTGCAGTAGTCACAGGTATTAACTGGCTCGTTCTTGAGAAACATATGTGTGGGCAGACTCATTTGACACATTTCTAGTGTAACGCTATGCAAGGTCCATATATAATAAATACAATCTAAAGAATTGTTGACGATAATCAAAATGTATTATTTTCTCTCTAAGGCCACAACTCTAATTGTACCTTGCTGATCTTTGTAAAACCCACTACATTTAAACTCAACAGAAACAAAATAAAACTGGTTAAACTTATATTAAAAACCGTAACATTTTCACCCGACTCCACATTTGTTTGCTGTCCCCTTTGTCTTATGCTTATCTCGTTTTATCACCACTGTAAAGCGTCTTTGAGCACCTGAAAAAGCGCTTGCAAATTAAATGTATTATTATTATTAGTAATAATGCTTTTCTCTGACTTCAAATGTGACACACCAGTAAATAAAATATCAATGTTGTCTATTACCACTTGAACCTTTCCTTAGTAATTTATTTCGATGAGTCAAACTCAGCTCATGCATAGCATTTAAAGCTATGGTAGGAATGCTTAATGAAGCCAGCAAGAGTAGCTACATTTTTTTTAAATGACCCAACCTAAGAATCCAGCGTTATTGCCTACTCTTTTCCAATGAAAGTAGTAAACAGCATTAGCTTCAAAAGTCTAGCAAAAAACGCGGCAAGTTAGCAACACTGAAAACCAGTGACAACAATTAATATACACTGAGAAAACGTAATGTATTATGTCAACAAAATTCACATAGCTGTATTAGGTTAGTTGGAAGCAACAATATTAAGTTCAACCTTATTCAACTTAATATTATTGCTTTCAACTAACCTAATACAGTTCTGTGAAATTTGTTGACATAATACATGTAATTAAAGTCAATGTTTCAGTCTTTTCAGTGTAAACAACCAACATGACTATTGTAAGTTTTAACAACTTTCAAGGTAGCCTCTTCTGGAAGACTCCAGTGAATGGGCAGGTAAACTGATTGAATCAAATCAAATCAAGTTTTATTTATATAGCACATTTATAAACGATTTTTGGTTGAGCCAAAGCGCTGTACATATAATAAAAATAGCCTACAATAGAGACACTTTACAGCAAATACAACAGCACTGATTGTTCAGAATATCAGTATGAGAAAAACGACACCCTCTATCCTTAGACCCTCACATCGTACAAGGAAAAACTTCCAGAGAAAACCCACAGTTTAAAGGGAAAAAATGGGAGAAACCTCAGGGAGAGCAACAGAGGAGGGATCCCTCTCCCAGGATGGACAGACGTGCAATAGATGCCGTGTGTAAATCGAAAAGATAATACATTTACAACATATAGACCGAATGTTAGGAATGTGTCTGTAATAAGAAGATGAATCCACGAGGATGCCAGCTACAATCCTGTGGAAGCCATCAGGGAAGCAGCATGACTAGACCCAAGGCAGGACCGCAGAGACAGATTCAGCCACGACCCGAAGTCCACGACTTAATCCAGAACTCAGGATAGAGGATCCAAGACACAGGACTACAGCAAGAGGATCAGCCTCGACTCCGGATCCCGGCGTAGATATAGATACAAAACAAGAAAAAAGATTTGGCTGGGTTAATCTGAAATCTGAAATCCTCCTCCTGCTGCCTTGATATTATTCCAACAGGATTTTTCAAAGATGTTTTGCCTTGCATGGCCTCAGATCTACTTCATATAGTAAACAAATCTCTTCACTCAGGTATTTTTCCACAGGCCCTGAAAACTGCAGTCATTAAACCGCTCTTAAAAAAGAATAATCTAGATGCTTCAGTAATGAACAATTACAGGCCCATATCAAACCTCCCATTTCTAGGTAAAATCATTGAAAAAGTTGTTTTTCAACAGTTGAGTAATTTCTTGCATTTAAATGACTGTTTTGATGTGTTCCAGTCAGGCTTTCGTCCAAACCACAGCACTGAAACTGCTCTTGTAAAGGTCTTTAATGACATCCACTTAAACACAGACAGTGGCAGAACTTCAGTGTTAGTATTATTAGATCTCAGTGCTGCGTTTGACACTGTTGACCACAGCATATTACTAGACCGACTGGAGAACTGGGTGGGACTTTCGGAAACAGTTCTGAATTGGTTTGAATCCTACTTAAAGGACAGAAACAACTTTGTTTCTATAGGTAAATACACATCTGAGTTGACAAATATGACATGTGGGGTTCCTCAAGGCTCCATCTTGGGGCCTCTTCTCTTTAACATCTACATGCTACCACTGGCTCAGATAATGAAGAACAACAAAATAAGTTACCATAGCTATGCAGATGACACACAAATTTACGTAACAATTTCACCAGGAGACTATGCTCCAATTCAAACACTGAGTAAGTGCATTGAACAAATCAATGACTGGATGTGTCAGAACTTTCTCCAATTAAACAAAGATAAAACTGAGGTAATGGTTTTTGGAGCCAAGGCAGAACGTATAAAAGTTAGCGCTGAGCTTCAGTGTGCAATGTTCAAAACAACAGATAAAGCCAGAAATCTAGGTGTAGTCATGGACTCTGACCTGAGTTTCAACAGTCACATTAAAACTGTTACTAAATCAGCCTACTATCACCTAAAGAACATATCTAGGATTAAAAGACTAATGTCACAGCAGGATTTGGAAAAACTTGTCCATGCTTTTATCTTCAGTAGACTGGACTACTGCAATGGTATCTTCACAGGTCTCACTAAAAAATCTATTAGGAAGCTGCAGCTAATTCAGAACGCTGCTGCTCGAGTCCTCACTAACACTAAGAAAGTGGATCACATCACTCCTGTTCTGAAGTCTTTACACTGGCTTCCTGTGTGTCACAGAATAGATTTCAAAATACTGCTGCTGGTTTATAAAGCACTGAATGGTTTAGGCCCAAAATACATTTCTGACCTCCTGCTAAATTATGAACCATCCAGATCTCTCAGGTCTTCAGGGACTGGTCAGCTTTCTGTCCCCAGAGTCAGAACTAAACATGGTAAAGCAGCGTTCAGTTATTATGCTCCAAATATCTGGAACAAACTCCCAGAAACCTGCAGGTCCGCTGCAACTCTGACTACTTTTAAATCCAGGCTGAAGACTTTTCTTTTTGTCGCTGCTTTTAATTGAACTATTCATATCTTAGACTGCACTGTAACTTTTATCCATGTACTTTTTTCTTTTAATGTTTAATTGACAGCACTGTAACTTTTATCCATGTATTTTTTCTTTTAATGTTTATTTTATTAGCTTTTCTTTTTAATGACTGATTTTAAATGCCATTTTCTTAATCTCTTTCATTTTTTGTAAAGCACTTTGAATTGCCTTGTGTTGAAAAGTGCTATATAAATAAACTTGCCTTGCCTTGCCTTGCCTTGCCTTAATCGGAACAAGAGAATACACAGACACAGACAGAGAGGGAAAAGGTCATTGGATAAAAGCTATTCTTGATAACCCTCTAGAAAGATCTCGTGAACTTCCCCACTCAATCTATCAAGACCCGAGCAGTTCTATTAGATATAGGATAAGAAACAGAGATAGGGAGCACAACAACCTATCTCTCTGATTGAACATGAATTAGCTGGTAGGTAATAAGGCAGGTTCTCCTGTGACGGCCAGTTACTGGATCTACGTGATGTTAAGAGTTTTTCAACACACATTTTTCTAAAACACACCACTTATCTAATGTCTAATGTTATTTTAAGTGTACCTAATGTTTTCCCATTTCTGTATCCCAGGGCCAGGAGGTCATGTCTCAAAGTACAGCCTTAGCTGGCTAGCTGAGAACAGCTACGAAAAAAATAAGCAAAGCCCCATCCAGCCACGCATCCTCTGGAATTCAGACACCTACAAAAAGGCCAACATACCCTCTGCAAAATGGGAAAGCTTTATGAGTTGTGACGATGAAGTAAAGAAATTTCTTCAAAACTATCTTCTGTATGGGATCGCTTTTGTAGATGATGTCCCTGCTACAGTCGAAGCCACAGAGGCAGTCACCCAGAGAGTCAGTCTTATCAGGTATTAGGTACTTTATTTTTGCCTTTTCTTGTGAAAGTTATCTTAGAAATGACATTCTGAAGCATCTATGCTGCGCTAACAATTTGACTTTGTGTTTTTTTGTGTAACTGATACAAAAGGGAGACTACATATGGAAGAATGTGGTGTTTTACATCAGATTTTTCCAGAGGGGATAGTGCCTATAGCCAGCTGGGCCTGGACCGTCATACTGACAACTCCTACTTTCAGGAACCTTGTGGGTACGTACAGCAGAGATTAGCTCATATATCTTAAAAACAAAGCCCAAGAAAGTCTAATTTTTTTACCGCTGATTGCTGATACAGAATCCAGGTTTTCCACTGTCTCAAACATGAAGGAACTGGGGGAAGGACACTGCTTGTGGATGGGTTCTACGCCGCTGAAAAAGTTCGCCAGCAGTCTCCTGAAAACTTTGAGCTGCTGGCCAAAGTGCCTATCAGACACGAGTACATTGAAAAGTCTGAAAACCACCGCAACCACATGACAGGCATCGGCCCTGTACTCAACGTCTATCCTTGGAACGATGAAATGTACATGATTCGGTATGTTGGTGCTAAAGTATAACCACATTTTACTCATGTTTGTGCAGAAGTGGATCAATTTCATTGTTTTAATGTAGAGGTAAAGCTTCATATGTCTCACTATTTAATTACTCATAATTTCCCGTGCCTTAATACTAGACAAACTTTAAAGAAACCTCTGTAGTCATTTGTATTGTTATTTTTCTACTGTGTTCTTTCAGGAAATATTAAATTGTTGTGTCCTTTCTCCAACAGATACAACAACTATGACCGATCGGTGATAAACATAGTGCCCCACGACCTTGTTCGACGATGGTACGTGGCACATCGAGAGCTGACAAATGAACTAAGGAGACCAGAGAATGAGCTGTGGGTGAAACTGACTCCGGGAAAAGTAAGAAAGCTGTTGGTTTGCAATTTGGTCATAAACAACCAAACTTGCTGTTTCTTGATATTTTCTTATGCCTTTCTCAAGTTGGATGATGTTGCTGTATTTCATGTAATTGCTTTTTATTAGCAATATAATCTAAGGATTCTTTGACTCTCTTTTCTTCGTTAGGTGATTTTCATTGACAACTGGCGGGTCATGCATGGGAGGGACTCTTTCACCGGCCTGAGGCAGCTGTGCGGATGCTACCTGACCAGAGATGATGTCCTGAGTTCTGCACGTGTCTTCGGTCTGCAGGCCTGATCCTGGACATCAAGACCTCTTCACCGCTGTGCCTTGTCAGTTAGCCTATGCAAATTAGAGTTAAGATGATCCAGGTCCTTTCTGAGAGAGCGAGAGATGGAGAAAAGCGATTCAAGCCGAATCATCAAGTCAGTTGCTACAAAGTTGACCTCAACCCAACTTTGTAACAACCTTCAGGATAGGCGATTAATTTAACTGGCTATCAATTGCCTGTTTTGACGGTTGGTACTCCAAGGTGAATGTATGTTTTATTGTTTAATACAACTTAACTGATTTCTGATCAGTCTATCCTATATCAATTAGGGTATTACAACTATAGGTAAATGTGGCTGATTGGCCACTGACGTTGCCATAACAACACCTGCATTTAAATGTGCAACCTCTTTTTGTGACAGATTTTGCATGAAAATATAATTCTTCTGATTGATATTTCCTATTGACAGCTAGTTTCTATGTGAACATTATGAGATGGACAGCCAGCTAACAAGCTTTTTATACAAATATTTCAGATCAAAGTTAATCCAGTGGGGCTCCTGAAAGGGAGCATGGGACACTATACTCCCAAATATTAAGCCTTGACCCGCATCTTAAAATTGATATGATCAAAAAATGATCTGCATTGTCGGAGGCCTTTTTTCCTCATTATCATGTCAAAGTGTACAGCTTTCCTTAGTGTTGAATGCAGAAAGATGACTATATTAGAGTATTAAGTGAAAATGACTATATTAAAGTTTTAAGTAAATATATTAAGTGAATTGCTCAAACTGCATTTGTATAGGAATGATTCTGTCCTATTGGCAGATAACTACTCTAACAGTGATATCTACAAGAGGTTTCTAATGTAAATTTAACTATTTTCAATTGGTTAGTATTACATTTTGTGACAGTGTGGTGACACTCATTTTAATGAAGACACATGTGTGTATCTTGAAATTCATTTATTTGACAGAGCTGGAAACTGATTGACTTACATACTTGTTTGTGTTTACCAACACAGTCATCACAGATGAGCCAAACAGAGTAGAGGATGAAGAAAGGAGAACAGGAGAAAGGGACACACAAGAAGGAGATACAACAGACAAGAACGACAATGGAGACAACAATGAACAGGAACACCAGAACAGACAAGAGTCAATGAGTAATGGCGCGTTTCCACTGCAGCGGGTAGCTCGCTTTAAGCGTGCCGAGCCGTGCGGGGCCCGTTTTTGGTTGCGTTTCCACTTGGCCTAGTTTTGGCCCGGGGCTACTTTTTCACCTTTTTTCTGGCCCGACTAAATCGTGGTTCTAGGGCCAGGAACAGCCAGGCTGAGTCGGGCTGAGTATGCTAAACTAGAGAGAGAATCGCTGGCAAGGGGGCTACAACTACAACAAGATGAACATATTTGACCGTGAATTAATTGTAATACACGTTTCAAAATTATGCCGAAGTAACAACATACTGATACCGGTTAGTAAAAACCATGAATTAATGCTTTGACAAGTCTGCAGACAGACGGCAGGCGAAAAACCCTTTTAAAATGCGTGTTTTCTAAATGTAGCTTGGCTAAGCTAACGTTATATATGCTCCGACCGTCCACACTCACAACAACGGCCTATACAGACATAAATAAACCAGCGACTGTATTCGCCATGACACAGGCAGTCTGTGGTTTGTACTTGTTTAACTTTTGTCAAGTTTCTGAACAGATATGAAGAGCTGTGAGCTCCGAGTGCTAAGAGCTAACGGCTGTGTTGTTTTTCTGGGGCTCTCATTGAAGATGACGTCACGGCTCCGCCTACACTGCGTTACTATAGTAACTGCCCCAGTTCCTAAACTGTAATGGAAACGCAGCATTAAAGTGAGCCGGGCCTAATAAGGCCTAACCAAACCGAGCGAGGCCGAGCGAGGCTGAGCGAGGCCTGCAGTGGAAACGCGCCATAACATGACTGATTTAGGGACTGCAGATACAGGGCCAAGGCAAGTGAGACATCACTGCTTTCCATCCAGTATGTTTGGCCAGCAAAAGAGATCATTTCAACCACAAACAGCAAGTGATGAGGGATTATTATTTCCTCCTTCCATCCCTTTTTTCTGTTTAATCTGATTACTAACAACTTCTAATAATTTGACATAGTTTATGATTTAATTGGAAAATGAAGTGTTTTTAAATAATAAACCCGTTTCTGATTATTTGAGTTTTTCTTGACATATGGGTGTTGAGAGATGTATCCATATCTCTTAATGTTGCTCTCAAAGTGCACAAGATTGATGCTTTTAACTTCAGTATTTAAAAAAAGTCTTCCTGGGGGACCCCAGAGGAGGTGAGTTCCCCCCAAAATAGCACTTTATCTCTGCTTATGTAACTCCGGTGTAGTGTCCCCTCGTCAACAGATTACTCAGAGCTGGTGATTACTTTCCTGCATTTCAATGGACAGCATATAAAAAGGACACGTGAGCTGCATTGCTTAAGAGATCCTCTCATGCTATCTCTTTTACAAAATTAGTGTCCAGTCAACAACAAAACATCAGTGATCGTATAGTGGTAGTATATTTTTCATAAGCAATGTGAAACATTAAACTTATACAAACTGGTGTACAAAACTCACATACCTGCATTGATCTCCTGGAGTGTCTCTACTCTTCTTCTCCACATCTCTTTCCAACATCAGAGATTGCAAACATTTCAGAAACAGCTAGAGGCAGGGGACAAACAACTTGTTCGCTGGGCATGTCAAAAACCTCCCTGCTTTGATCAAGACTTTAGGGAGCCTTTCAGCCCCTCTAGCAAAGGGACTGGAAAGCAAGCTTTGAAAATTCAGTACCATCTACATGCTGTCATGTTCCAGACACTGCTCCCAACCACTCAGGGCTTGCACACATACCTGCAGAAAGAAACACTTGACTTGGTGCAGGCAGTAGATTACAAAACAGCAGTTGAGAACACACTGAAAAGTTACCAAAGTAACGAGAAAGCACATGAGGTCTATGACAAGACCAAGGCCCTGTGCAATGATCTTGATATTCCCGAAACTGTGACACAGAGGAAGAAGCGTAGAAACATGGAAGACTTTGTAGTCGAGGCATCATGTGGAGCAACATTAAACATAAATAAACTGGTGTACAAAACTCACATACCTGCATTTCAATGGACAGCATAAAAGGACTCGTGAGCTGGGTTCTGGTGCTCAGATTAGCTATTGATGATCACGTTGATAAATCATATAAAACAAATAGCCAATCTCACAAAAAACATGTTGCTGCATTAAACAATTAAACTAAACAAACACAACAGAACGTTATTGTCCTTATAAAATAAAAACATACATTTTGTCCACCGAGATAATACAGGCACCTTACCCTCAAGAGATCCTCACGTGCTATGAGAATCTCCCACAATCCATTGCCGTAACAAAGCTAATGCAGGCACACGTTTGTGACACCAGATGGCGCAATTGTGTATGTGCGTGTGGGGAGTCTTGCAGTAGAAAATTTGACTGTAGCGCCGCCACTGTGGGCTAAGCCCCGAATGTTTCCAGGTCCAGGCGACGCCCCTGGCAATAGCTAAGGGAATATCAGTTGTTTTATGTACTTTTGACTTGATGGCACAAGAGGAGAAGTTAAGCATCACCAGAGCTATTACAAGTCATCATCTGGACCATGAGAATATCATGGCAATCCTTCCAGGAGTTGTGGAGAAATTCTAGTCTGGAGCAAAATAACAAAATGAGTAACAAGTTACAACAAAGCCAGAAAGCTGCATCCAAATTTCAATTATAGGGTTATTGTATTTTACAGAAATTAGGAGTGTGCATACAGTGTTGCGAGTTGTCTTATTTGAACATGAGCTTTAGAACTACTGTCAAAACGAATTCATTAATAAATATCTTTCAATTAGCAAACTTAAAGTCATCTCCAAATTATGAGAACATTGACGGCCAGTATTTTAGTTTTTATTTATTATTTGAGACCTATATCATATGAAGTTTTCTTCTTAATTCAATTTTTCCACCTCTGTAAAACAAATCAAAAGTCTTGGAGCCAGACTGCGACTTGTTGCAAGAGCCATAAGTGGGTAATGATGCTCGACTTCACACATCTTTCTTGGTAGGGTGATGATGTGTTGGGTTAGTGTGAAACTGTCACTGAATTCAGCTGAATAAGCGGAGCAAGATGGCTCCATAAAGAACACAAGCAGCTCAGTTAAAGGGAATATATTGAAGGTATCTGTGCTGCCTTTGTACTTGCCAAATGATTATAGATCTTTGAACACTAGCTTCAAATTGACGGAGGGGTAGCCATGTTGATATGAATTCAAGGTATTTGGTTGAAAGAGCAGTATTAGCTTATATTGATGAGGAAATACTGTAAATAATGTTGTCATTGTGAGGAAGCACCAATTCCTTCACTAACTGTTTGCTAGGAAAGACAAACTTTTTCTCACATACAGTTTTCTTCATGGATAAAATAATTGTACCTAGCATTATTATATGAATATATAAGTAGACATGTTGTCATGTAAGCAATTACCTGTCAGAGTTTGAGTCCTTTGTGGAAGCCATCTTGTGTAACAGGAAGCAGGCCTCAACAGCAGTAGTTTAGTTAAGAAAATGTTTCATATTTCTGGTTCACTTGTCAACTCTTACTAGAGTACTATCTCCTGATAGGCCAGTTTGAACTGAAAAGGTTCAATATCTGATATCTGGGTGCAGCAGTGTGAATAATGTTTTTTTTCTTTATATTTTGAAGGCTGTAAGTGAAAGCTCTGCCTATATTTCCAACATGCCACCCTGCCAGCAAGATTTGTCCATGTGTCTGTAGTACAAAATGCTTACAATTGATCTGCTGATGTAAACAGAGAGAGAGTGACTCATTGATTTCTCGCATTTACTTTTCCAGCTGGATTAAAGTAGTCCCCATTGCCCTCTTACCATTTTAAATAATGTAAAGATATTACATTCTGGAGAATAATCCTACAACTTGACAGTGAACTTCTTGATATATGTATTGACAGAATATATCCGTATATTGTTTCCCCCCCCCCCTATCAGAAAAACTATAAATCTCATGAAAATAAAGTTATCTGTTAACCTTCATCTTGAAGGACTATAGAGCATATGATGTTTTGATATAAGGTCACAAAGAGCTCTAGAGGCTTCTCCCTGTGTGAGCAGCTAAACATATTGTAGACCCCTGTGAGAATGCAGTGCTAAAGGGCAGCCTCTGTAGCTTCATGGATTAAATCATATTTCTAAGTCATCTGACCCCTCACCATGGAGGGATTACTGAACAGGCCTACATTTAACACAAAGAAACATACACAAACTACAGAGACACAAAGCAAATGTAAATACACACACAATAACTACGAAATGTGGCAAAACAACAGTAAAATACACTGATTAACTGCAAAGAGACATGACATCACCACAAGGTGACATACAACAACACATAAGAGAGGATTAACATCTATACATTCAGGTTAATGTCTGACCCTGTTGCTTATTGTGTTAAACTCCTCGTAAAGAGACACAAAACGTGAACCCGCTATGCAAAAACACTGGGACGGAGAAGTGTCAAAAAGACTGGATTTAATAAGTCCACAAAAACCAGGCAGGGGACAAAGCAAACTCTGAACAGAGTGGGGAGAACGTGGAGCAGGGCTGAGACGGAGGTTGGGCTGGACGTGGCAGGCAGGACGGAATGGAATGTGGAGTTTCTGGAACAGGCAAAAAACAGAACAGGATTAGTATATGAAAAATCCAACAGGAAGAGTATACAAAAGAACTACAAAATCTAGTCAGGCGGAACTGGAGTTTACCACTGTGAGTATACGAAGAACTGGCGAAGTCTGATGATCGAACCGGAGTTTTAAGCAGCAGCAGGTGAGTGGTGGTAATCAGTGATGATGAGAAACAGGAGCGGAGGTGAGTTTGGCGGAAAACGGAAAGTAGGTCAACCACGCCCAGCCAGGAAGACAGACAAACAAATAGAAAAAAGGAGAAGGAGATACCGCAATTCCTCACATATTGTATCATAATCCACCCTATTCTGAAGGAAATGGGTTTCGGATTTGTCTCTGAAACACGAGACAAATCATGGACGTCCAAGGACTCTTAATCTGACTGAGCGCTAACATTATGAGTCTCAGTGTAAATTTGCTGCCACCTAGATGAACCTTTTATTGATCATTATCATCATTGTCACACTTGATGAGCTAGATGACTCGTTGACTCAGAAAACACAATATTTTATTGAACCAGAATTTCTGAACGTTAATACATAAACTTGTCATACATCATCACAGCTGCATTTGTCTGTATTACATTTATGCTTAACCAAATTAAATTGTCATATCCATCCACTGTAAAGACAAACAATCCTATAATAAGACTTTTATCATTTGAAAGATTTGAATCTTGAACTATTATCCTATTTATTTTAAAAATACTCATACTGATAATTTGCATGATGCAAATTCTACCGTCAAGTTGATTTACTTTAATTTTCTATTTTACACAATAAATTCAAGTTTCAGGGCGGCTGTGGCTCAGTGGGTAGTGTGATGGACTTCGAATCAGGGGATAGCAAGTTCGAGTCCCACTCCAGTCAGCATGTCGTTGTGTCCCTGGGCAAGACACTTCACCCCAAATTGCTCCTGTGGGGATTGTCCACAGTACTCAATGTATGTTAGTCGCTTTGGATAAAATCGTCTAACAAATGACATGTAATGTAATGTAAAAAAGTTCTATTTATAAAGTAGATTGTATATCCAATGCAGGGCTCATCAACATGGTTTTAAGGACATTAGGTTAAATGGTCAACAAACATTGTGTCTATACAATCAAGCCAATTTAAAGTAAAACATATATTAAAAAAGCTGTAAAAGTGTTGGTTTGCAATTTAACTTTTTGATTAAGAAAATATGTAACAAAATTCTAATTCATACACGACAATGAGCATGGACATAATGATGATTAAATGTGAGAATGACGTGTGCTGAGGGCTGGAGATCCTGTTGTTCAGTGTAGTGACGTATCTGCAGGAGCTCTTTCTCCAGCTCTTTTTTTAGGCCTTGGGCCCATCCCCCTCAGCATGGAGGTTGCTGGGTGTAGTTGCCATGGTAACGCTATCTGAGGCTTCTGGGGCCTGAGTAGAGCTCCTCCTCGTGGGCAGAGAGAGAGTTGGTGTTACACACTTGAATCAGGAATGACATGATGTAATGCAACAACATCAAGAGGTTAGAATCTCACATCATCTCGTTGCCCTCTGAGGCTTTGATCGCTTTGTATTTGTGTTTCTTCAATGTGTGAGCGATGAACCACACAACCAGGACGATAAGGACACACCCGAGCAACGCACCAATCACTGCGCCGGCAATCACTCCATCTCCCACATCTGTACAATGAAGGGGAATAAGGCCTTTTTTAATACTGGTGTTGATGTGCATATTGTACGGAAGCCCTGAGAGGCAAATTATTTAAAACATGTGGTAATCTCCCTTAATCCAATCTATAAAGTTTCCTCTCATTTCAATTACTTAAAACATTTTGCCAATATGACTTTTCATTTTTCTTTTACGTGAAACAAACTGGTGACGGTACAAACGTTTTACTCAATAAATGTTTTCTTTTGTTTCATGAAGATTGTTTGTTTTGTAACTCTCATGTTGGCCTTGGACTAAAAGCATTCCTTTTTTTTCAGGTCAGTTAGAATTTTTCAATGCGAGAGTGCAAATAAGAGTGACCCAAAAAAAGTAACGTTGTTAAAGGGATAGTGGAAATCCGCGAATTTTGGGTTTAACTTATGTATTTGTATTAAAAATAAGCATAATAAACAATTTTTTTTAATTTCATGCGCCTAGTTTCATTTTATTTTCAATTTTACTGCGCCCTCTCAATGAAACTAAATACTTCGGGAATCGTCGGGAATCTTCGGGTGATGACGAGAGCAGAGGAAGACGGGCACAAACAATGGCGGACATTCAATAGCATTTGCATGTGAATAGCCGACCTTTATTATGGTGAATAGATGTGTTTTGTATGGCTGTAGTGCGACAGCAAATGCAGAGAATGGCGTATCGACTCATGCGTTTCCAAGAAACCCAGCCATTCGTCGTCAGTGGGTGAAATTTGTTCAGACATTTTCACTATAGGTAATACTATAAGACTGTAAGACGGCAATACTTTATACCGAGTATATTGCCATAAATATGATGATTGATTATCAGTAAAAAATTATACGTGACACAACGACATTGGATTAACCTTGAGATGCGTTTTTATTCCGTTGAACACAACTTTTGATCACAAATCAAAAAAGGTAAGACGTAATTATTGTAATATTTTTGGAACCGGATGTTGTTTACTTTCTCTTTTCTGGCTGATAGCTCCAGGAATTCGAGGTCTTACAGTGATGACATTACATCTGTGGAGTCTCAGCTTTAAATCGTATATCTTGTTTGTGCAGTTAAGATAGTAATAAGGGCATTTCCACCGTGTGTTGTGTGTAAAAAAGCGTTAGCATTAGTTAGCATTGTTTCGCTCAATGCTAATTCAAAGGCTTGGTATTACTCTTGTGTTTTTTCTAGCTAACAATTGTTCTTATTGTCAGTTAGCGGAGTTTCTTACCTTTAAAAGGGTATGAAACATTAATAGTTTCATAAATGTTAAGAAGCCCTGAGACATGTGAGAGAAAAAAAACTGTGGGAGGGGTCCACTGGGGGACCTTCGGGCTTAACTGGTTAACAATGATTAATATTTGTAAAGGCTACAGGTGATCTTAAGATGCGTGAGCTATGCTTAGGGACCTACCAGTCAAGATTATTTGTGCGTAGGGGTGCATCATCTGGCGCCTGGTCCTGGTCATCCTCGCCATTGCCCATGCCGTGAACCATCACCTCGGGCTCGGGCTCGAACAAATAAGGACGTAATGGTCCATCGTCTGGCTCAATATTCTCACCATCGTCGCTTACTGAACCGGATTCAGATTCAGTTCCTAAAACGACATTTTCGTAGGAAAGCCGAGAGGATGTTTCTGACTCGCTATCATCACTGGATACCTCGTAAAATCCTTCTTCTTTGTCTGGTATATTTGCCCTTCCACGTTCTATCTGCATAGACGCCATAGTTTGTTATCGTATCGTCTTCCTGAGTTTTCGTCACTTCCGGTTTGGCTGAGTCGAACATTTCGTTTCTAAAAAACTTCGGGGAAGCTGCAATAAAGTGCTTCTAACATGCGTAAGGCAATTATTATATTTTTTTAATCAGGTGTGATTGTTTTGGTACGTAATTATGCTTGTATATAAGTTAAAACGAAACTATTTGAGGTTCCATTTCCACTATCCCTTTAATTTTCTGGCAACGCTTTAGTTTTCTTTCAATTTGCAAAAATGTTTCACGGATAAATAAACAACAGAAAATTATCTAAATATTCTCAAAACAATTAATTAAATAAATAAATAAACATACCATGATTTAACTCTAAGGTGCAAGTTGAAAATCCCTCTCCATTTGTAGCGTTGCACTGGTATTCCCCAAACTCAAACTGGGATATGTTTCTGATTTCCAGAATTCCAGTATCGGTCGCTGAAGAGACAAGTGCACACATGTTTATAACAAAGCAACAAGTATATTACAGGCAAACACACATGCAGTACTGACTTCTTCCCATCACAGGCCTCCTTGTCCTGGCCTGGTCCAGTCTGATCCAGGTGTAGGTCGGGGGGGGGGCTGCCGCGCTCGCTGTGACAGGTCAGAGTGACCAGGTGTCCCGACTCCACGTCCCCGTGGACGGAGCAATAAGGAGTCGAGGGAGTCTCTGACAGAGCACAGAGGACACATTAAATGACATTCAAAACTACTGGTGTAATCCTGAATCATTCATTTTATTTTAAAAAGGTATCATATTTTAAGTCTTAAAAGTACCCAGTAACAATATATGTTAAATAAATGGAAGTAGATTTCCACTATATAAAAAGTAGGTTGAAATATGATATAGTTGAGTAAAGTATGTTACACTGAAAAAACTGAACCGTTGACTTTAATTAAATGTATTTTGTCAACAGATTTCACACAACTGTATTAGGTTTGTTGAAAGCAATAATATTAAGTTGAACCTAGTATTTTTTATTGAAACGTAATAGTATTGCTTTCATCTATCTAATACAGTTATGTGGAATCTGTTGACATAATACATTTCATTAAAATCAATGTTTCAGTTTTTTCAGATCAGTTTAGAAAGAATATAGAAAGAGTTCATACTTTTCACTTCTGCTTTAAGGTTTTCATATGATAATCAGGAAAGGAGGGGCATTAAAGTGAGGGGGCATCCTCCTCCATTTGAGCATCAAACACTTAATTTCTTGCAATCTGTTGGCTTTATATGCACCATTTAGGGTGTAAATGTCTTGATTTATTTAAAGGAAAGCACACATCTCTGGGTGCCAGGTGATAATTATAAATGTGATAATGTATGCCATTTAAATGTTTTGGGCTGGAATGTGCAGCAACATATTATAATTATGGCCTTTATATTGATTACAATCTGAGAAACGATGTTAAGCCATTTGATTGATCAAATATGATCAATATGCCTGTTAATTCTGACTGCTCATTTTTATTTCTGTTCATTTTTATAGTATCACAGCCATTCTTTCAGAAAGCAAAGACATGTTGTGCACTTCCTGGTTGAGAGTACTGTATGTATACATATGTGTTTTGATTTGTTAAAAATGACAAATCCTTTTTGTGGGTCTTTGAATCGACATCAGGCAGGAAGTGTTGGGTGTGGCCTTACAACTGTCACCTCCTGAGACTGAATCCTAACTGTATATTTCCCAACACCTACCTTCTCTATATGCTGCTGAACATCTTTAACAGGAAATAACTTCATTATTGAAATGTATTCTGTTTTCACAACAAGGGTAAAGCTTCCCCCCTTTTTTGTTATTCATGATCCACTCCCTCTCCTTAACATATTACCATAATTCTATGTAACAGTAAGAGATGATGAAAATCTTTCATCCCGTGATAATCAGCACGAGAACAGCCATACATATTCATACAGCATGAATCACATTCAGTATGCAGACACCGTCCTGCTAACATTTTCATAAAGGTTATGAAATACAAGACGTGTGTTTAGCATGCAGCAGAAGCTGATATATACTCTGTATGCAGTACAAGGATGCAGTCACAGTCCTCCTCTAATTTCACACTGACAATGAGGAGACTGCTGCAGTAACCATGGAAACTAGTGAGGATACTGAGGCCTGCGAGGTTGTCCCTGGTAACTCGCTGAATGAGAAGATTCAAACTGAATGTGATTCCCTAATCTCGCTTTTCAGGGTCGCTGTTTTAATAGATTTGTTATTGTAACAACACTGAACATAGACACAGTCATCTCTGCACTGACATATTTATTGTAACTGTTACATAAAACCTTCTTAACTTTATAACTGATAGTGCGTTACAATGTGACTGTAGGTGATTTCATGTGGTCATTGTTTACTTTATAATGCATTACAACTGTGATTATAACAAATATATAATTGATTAAATAATCAATGGAACAATAGAAAATAATACACTATGATCATTGCAAAAAATTTTCAGTAATAGACCATCAAAAAACATAATGATAGCTGAACCGTAAAAGTAATTTTGATAGTCAGTAATGGTTACGGTCCAAATAGATTAAAGGGGCCCTATTCTGCTAATTTCCAGGTTCATATCAGTATTTTGTGTTCCTCTACTGTGACATGTCTCCATGCTTTAATGTTCAAAAAGCTCTTTATTTCTCTCATACTGCCTGTGCTGAAGCACCTCTTTTCACCCTCTGTCTGAAACCAGAGCCTAGCCTGCTCTGAGCTGGCCTGCTCTGTTGTGATTGGTCAATGTCAATGCATGTTGAAAAATATTTTCAAATGAAAGCAAAAGACTAATATAAGTCTCTGACACATTACTAATCTACCTTCACATGAATAATGTGAGAAAGACAAATAAGGATTAAGACATTCAAACATTCAACTTAAAACTAAAACAACAAAAAAACCTTGGTCCATGTTATTTTTCAAACCTCTAAGAGGCCGATAATGTGCTTTGGCTCTCCTTTTTCAGGCAGCCACACCCTTATGAGCAGCAGAACAATGGCTGATCACCGGGACAAGGTTTTCTTGTATTTATCTACCAGTAATAACGGTTTCAGACAGCAACAGCAGATCATCCTGTCAGACCGAACACATGTCTCGGTGTGAGCGCTGGTGTAAAAGCACCTTCAGAGAAACGAAGAACGACTTTTTGCTTTGCTCACTAACGTTCAGCCGATACTGCTGAGGGGTGTGGCGCGGTAATCCCCTTCACACTGTACACTCTCACAGTGTTATTTTACCTGATAAGAACTCTTATTCTGTATTCTCTATTATTAATGATGTACTTTCTTACTCATTTAATGGGTTTGACCTTTTTTTCTTCTACCCAGTAGGGTGTGTTACTAAATGTATTTACTCAAGTATTCTACTAAAATACACATTTGAGGTACTTTTTCAATTTCCTGCTACTTTACACTTTGACTTCAAAATAATTCTGAGGCAAATAATATTCTTTTTACTCAACTGTATTTTTTGGATCGCTTCAGTTGCTTTGCAGTACCAGATTGTCAATACAAAACATTGATGTATTATTATAGGTCAAGCTGCATCAATAATCATAATACATGGTATATATGATACTTAAATCGTCCATTCTGCATTATAAGTACACGTTTTCTATACTGCAGTATACTTTAAGTTAAGTAAAAGGGTATACTACAAATAATGAATACTGATTACTTCCTCCTTTAATTCTTCTTCAGGTAAGAACCAGTGGTTGAATAAACCACTTTTCAAGTAACTTATTCATTTCCATTAAATGTCTAATGTTTAAAGCTCCACAACAGCAACCTTTTCTATTTACAAATTGGGTTGAAAACCTTTTTTCACCCTCTTCAGTTCTCAAAACTTACCGAAAACAAGCACAAAGATATCGGCCTCAGATACTCCCTCAAAATCAGGAAGGTTGTGAACCTGACAGCTGTACACGCCGGTGTCTGATGGTTGTATGTTCCTTATTATGATGGAGGCATTTTTGGTCGTGGCGGGAGAGAAGGGAGGCTGAACCCGGCCCTCATAAGATGTTGCAATGTCTACGGTTCCAGATAGATAGTAATACACCTGAAAACACACGGCAACACCTTAGACACAATAAAGACTCAACTGTTTCTGTCAATCCTCATTGTAAAACTGGCTTGCCCAAGAGGTCCAGATGTTCTGAGTATAAGATACACTGTAGATACTCAATGATACCAACATTCACACTGGATATGTGCTTTAATCAGAGAGAGAATGGTGTCTTCTGTATTGTGAAGGCAGTTTATTGGATTAGCATTGCCAACACAAATATTTTTCACAAGGATAGTTTCAAATAGTAGTATAAAAAAGTAGAAATATGTATGTTTATGACGTAGTCCCCTTAAATAATAAATAAAAAAACTTCAAATTGTCCATGGTCCTAAATAAATCCCTTTTAGTGTTATTAGGTCCAGAGGATGGTACCATTTTGCTCATAAAGTAACTTGAACACATGTAACAGATAATTAAACATGAATGGTCCTGTTAAATCAGTTTAAAACTCAGAAGAAAAATCATACTGGATTGGTGTTTTAAAAAACTGCCTTTATCTGATTTGGCAGTCAGTCTTTGTTGTCTCAGTGAGGTGTGTCTCATGACCGTTGGTGAAGAATACGCTGCATACTGGAGTAGAAAAAGGCGCTAACCTGTGTGGAAGATGTGTTTTATGTTAGGCTCTATAATGAGGTTAATAGTAAACGATGGCAAATTAAATTTGAATATTTTCAAAATGTTCAGGTTTTCATTAGATACCACCCAGCATGCATCCAGCTCAAAGGCATGTTGCATTTGAATAACCAGGTAAATCGACCACATGGCACTACTTGGTGAAGGGCAGGGATTGGAACATTGAAATACAAAATGACGGACGGCTTTAAAAATCACTCAAAGCATTGTGCAGTTATTAAACAAAACTGTAAGCCACTGGAGTGATACCAATTGTAAAGGGGTATTATCAGGCTTATTAAATATATTATGAAATATTCTGATACTCACTTTGAACCCATAAGTCACTATACCTGATTTCACAGTATCCTTCCATCCCAGTGAATAATAATAACATTTTGAGAAAAGCTCAGTGTGTATCTACCGGCTTTGGTATCGCTGAGGACGTTGCAACAAAGTCCCACTGGATGTTGAGTTTTTTTGTGTCCGGCGCAGAAGTCACAAACGTACATGGCAGCAGGACATCTGTTCCCCTTGTAACGTTGACATATTTGTGCGGAGTGCTGACCTTGATCAGTTCAACACATCCTGCAAAAACAAGTCAAATCAAAATAAATACCCAGAAATTCAAACAGAAACATGAAAAAAATCCTCAGAACACTGAATTACAGGCAGCAAGGTTGTTACCTATGATGCTTAAAAGCACCAACAACGACATCGTGGAGCACATCTCGACTGAATGTTGGATTCTTTCACAGGTCTTCTCAAGAAATGAATTTTCCACTCTCTCAACCACTGACTCCTGCACCCAACAGGAAGAGAGGGTCAGCAACGCTTACAGTATGAGAGGCAAGGTTACTGTATGCTGGGTAATGGACTGGCCTGTTGATAACAATGTTTGCAAACCAATGTTTGCCAGACTGGGTGTGTTATTCTTTTTCAAACTTGATTTAGCCAGTTATAATTGTGGGTGTGGGGAGATGAAAACTAGAAAAAAACGTACCATACATATAAGAATAACTGAGATAATACAATGTCCATTTTGAATTACAGCAAATGAAGTTATAGCCTATTGTGTGACTTTAGAAGGCAGGTTCAGGTAATCAACTTGTATCATTACTACAGGCTAAATATACTATAGGCCTACAGGTAAATGTAATTCAAAATCTTACTTAAGTAAAAGTACAAAAGTATTAGCATCAACATGTTTTACCAAAAATAAAAGTAATAGATGATTTGAATTACTGATGTACACACATGTACAATGTTCATCATTTGAATGTTGCTGCTGATAAAGGTAGAGCTGATATTAATGATTGACGATGCTGTTGGTTTATTTATATTGTGGCATAATATTCAGATTCTGCAAAGTAACAAGCTGTAAATATGTCCCTGAAATGTAATGGAGCAAAAATATAAAGTAGCATAAAATGGAAATACTCCAGTAGAAGTACCTCAAAATTAGTAAGTACCTTACTTGAGTACAAGTACTTAGTTACATTGCACCGCTGGTTGTGACACTGATGGTTAATTCACGTTGCAGCACTTTGGCAGTGGTTTCTCCTCAGCGCATTGCTCCATCCTCCTTGTCTTGTAAGTCATTCCGGGTCAGGGCTTCTGGCGGAGGAATTCATGTAATTTAATCTCCACCTGGCCTTTATCGCTCGCCTCAAGGAAGTGTAAGCCAAAGCACTGCAACACGCTGCTTATCATTGGGGAGTTCACTCCCTGGTGCTGCCTACTTAATAAAGGCAGCTTCACCTTTGTCGTTTTCCCTCTCGCAGCATGGAGCACAATGCTGACGGAGAGAGGGAGACAGTGAATCACACATGATTAATTGTCTATAATTACCAGAAGCTGACATAAGCCATTAACAATGTGAAAAATGTTGATCAGGGGTGACTGGAGGGGTGAGGGAGGAGGTGGGGAGTGGATGGAGGCGTGTGGAGCTCATTATCCAGGAGACGATAACGTGAGAGGACAGGAAGCGAGACGATCGGGGTGTCTGCAGACTTTGTGTGCAGAAAACAACATGTGTTGGCTGCTGTGTGTGTTTGGGCAGAACTGTACGCTGCAACAACAAGGGGCCGGCTTTAAATAAGTGAAACCAACAGCATGACTCATGAGCGTCTCATCAGGATCCAAGACTCACAAACATTATGGAGGATCAAGTAGCAAGCAGTGTGAGTCAATAAGTGATCAGAGAGGGGGAAGTGAACGCTGCATTTTGTTCCGTAAACTCTGAATATTGTAAACCTGTGGGTACATTTGGGGAATACTGGTTATCTCTTCTGATATATGCTGTTTGATATATGCTCCACTGTTTGGTTCCCCCTTTATTTCAGCAACAGTCACACTTCTGTATTTGGGACGATGTTTTATTATATATCTATTTGTTATTGTTATATATGTTGAGACTCTGCAGACAAACACACTTCTTTTTATGGTAGTTTTTAAGGGCTGTGATATTTTGCTTATTTCTGAATAGTGAAAAGAAAACATCCAAAATAAACATTAAGGTGTTTATTATACTAATTGTGTTTTTGCGTCTGTTTAATTCTACCAAAGCTACCATTAGATGCTTTAGAAAATGCCTCATTTAATAGTAAAATACAATTTCAGAACAATATAATATATTGTCATAAAGTAAGCACTCAACTCTAAGAGGCCTCATGGTGATATCTCATAATTAAAAATGTCACAATTCACCCATAGTGTGTCCTCTTTAATAATTACATTTCACGTTTTTTTTAACCTTGCATATCTGCATTCATTTTTGTAATCGTTGGTTTCCTATTTATATATACATTTTTCCATTGTTGATGTACCATTTATTTGCACAAACATAATTTTAACAAAAAGGAAAAGTACTATTTCATTTCAAAATAAAAGTTTTGCCAGAAATGTGTCATTGACGTATAGAAGTATTGGACAAATTGAACATTGTAACATTGACTCACTGCTGAGAAAAAGTCAGGGGATCCCTAAAGTCATTACAGTAAGGTTTGAATATGAGCCGAGGGCCGATGACGAATCCTCCCCCCCGGCAGCGTGCACCAACTCAGAAAGTGTGTCTGCTGAGCACGGTGTCCCACACAAACCTCCAGCAGGATTCAGTGCAATACCTCCACACACACATCTCCATCCACCCACTAGCCAGTGTTTCCCTGTCAGCAGACTGCCAGCAGCTGTGAATCAGAGCTCTGGCTCAGGAACAGCACGGAGGAGTGGGGCCTTCTCTGCCTTCGGATAGACCTGTCTGGAGATAGATTGGATGTTACAACAACAAAAACAACATATAATCAAATATTTATCAGTTGACTATAGTAGTAGTGTATTTATTTTAAAAGTTTATTAGGAATGGTTTTGTTTGAGATACTGTCCATGCTCTTGTTATGAAGGGAAGCAGGGATGCAGTTCAGGAGTTGGCCAGCAGATGACAGGCCAGGCTGTTAGATGTCGTGTGCGTGTGTGTGTGTGTGTGTGTGTGTGTGTGTGTGTGTGTGTGAATCACAAACTGGCCTCACTCCTCATCTTTCAACAGCCTTGGGAAAAAACAAACAAACAAACAAATAAATACAAATAAAATAATAACCAGATATTTAGCACGGCTTTAGCACGTGCCAGGCAATCATACTGACTTTTAGAATAGTGATGTTACAAATCCAAATCGAGTGTGAGAACAATGCAACCACAGCAAGTTGCATACAGTATCATCTGACTCGCTCTGACTCAAAGGTTTTCTTTGCATTGCTTTTTTCTCCAAAATAAGTAACACATTGGCATCAAATGCAAACATGAAACACTGCTTTGATAAAAACTGTACAAATAAACCTATATTTAAATAAAGTGGGACAGGAAGTCAGTGGCAACGTCTCCTGATGCTTTTGTCACCTCTGAGTTACAGAGTGTGTTATTTGAGGAGGTGACCTGTCAGGAACAGAGCGACACAGAGGGCAGAGGGGGGGCAGTGTACATCAGCAAACAGTTTAAATGACAGCCTGTCAGTGTGCTATAACTTTCATAATGTGTGACCCTTATTGGCATAAAGAAGCATTACACCTCCCAAGACACACTATCTAATGGCATTTCTGATCATTACAATCTGTCCTTTAGTGACTGACTTCAGTCCAGAGAAAATGCCAAAATAAATTGAGTATAGGGTTTTGGGATTTGGCAGAAAAATACAATTTTATGCATTTGACTTTCAATCTTATCACAATTGAACTGACACATTTAGCTTGGCAAGAGGCGGTTTGTATTTTCCACGCAGCATAGTCTACCAAGCTAGAATTTTAAAGTGGTTCTCACTGTGCTTTCTATATACCTAATGCAAAATACAGGAGAAAGATTTCAGTATTTTGAAACTCGATTGATATTCATTTGGTCATGCAAATGTTGGAGGGAATTGACGAGCACAAACAAAGACATGTATTATCAATTCATTGTGAAAAGTGACACAGCTGGCATGTGCATCTACTCAATTACATGAAACAATCAATGTGCAGTATGATTGATCTCACCTTTAACTGCTACCCCGACATCTTTTTTGGTTTACGGATGAATTTCCTAAATGATGTCCCTTTGTGGGGGTTAGATTTAGTGTTTCAGCCGAGGTCACATTGCTTTAAAAAAGATGTGTTTTAATATTTCATTAGACACATTATACTTCCACTCTTCTTCATCTCTTCCCCCAAACAAGACATCCATGGCAACACAGATGAACATCTTGTAAAAGGAAAACAGAAGGACATGCCGCGCAGCAGGAGGAGCATGCTTCACATTTTATCATTCCAAAGATAATGCTAGAAGAAATTCTTGTTTAGGGGTAGAAGAGATTTGACTGTTAACTGACGATGACTTTAGTGGATGTTATCTGTCCTGCAAAACCCTGGATCAGAAGCACCTCTGTGTTGTAGAGGCTACTGTAATAATCATGAGCTATTCTTGAAATACTGGATGTTTCTGTTGCATAGCCATGGAAATCATGACTGTTACAACAACAGCCGAGCAAAATTAAACATCTCTCTTTCAAGTTTCAACTATTCTTCCATCGTTTGAAATGAGTTCAAGCTATTTGTTTAAAAGCACACACACGCATTATAAGCCTCAAAGCAACCACTGCTTCTTGAGCGCTTTCAAGTTTACTCCCCCCACAGAGGTACAGCCATCAATTCCTGACCCATGTTAATGCACACTTTCAATATTTAATGTTTTTATATGGAGTGCTGACAATAGAACTCAGAAATGGAGTGAGCAGCCACTTCACTGACTTCCCCTCAGCTTGCTATGCACTCCGATGCAGAAAGAGCAAAACACTACTGAGACTGAACGTGTACATTTGTATGCACACTTAACATAAATGTTGAAATCAATCAGTAGTGTTTGTACAAATTATTGTTTCGAAGCCATTTTCCAAAGGTGACTTTCAATAGGTCGTATAATTCCATCTTGATTAAATGTAAGAGTTTATCTCTGTACATCCATTCATGTTGGACATATTATTTATATACCTTCGCTCCTCTCAAGGTGAACTCACTTAGGCATAATCAACTGTCAGAGGGCCCGGTGGAGGCGCTGAGAGTAAATTAAAAGAAATCAATTAGGTGAGACAAACCCGTGCATTCAATTTGCCTCGTGTCTGAAGAGGACACGCCAGGAGAGGATCATTACCAGAGGTAAGCATGATGAAGAACACCACACACAACAACAACAAAAAAGAGCAAGAGACAATAGGTTTAGCTACAGCAGTCAATCAAATATAGATGTTTTGTTTTTTTAGACCGTCCAAATAAACCATGTAGCTCAATG